TCCCGGCTCCGTTTTTTCTTTCCTCGCAGATTTTTTTTTTTTTATCTTCTCGCGTTCGATGTATCAAGCGTGTATAAGCACAGATATTTTATTATCGGTTTTTCATACGTTTTTTTTTTTTTTTTTTTTTATCCAATTTCGTAGTTTTGTAGCTTCTCTTAAATAAATGAACAAGAGAGCGAGAATTTTTATTTTTTTATTACGAAATCTCGAGAAATGATTGCTAATTTCATCAGACTTAATACTCTTATAAGAGAGTATGAGTGTACAGATACTTTTCATTCACATTCGCGAATCGGAAGTTTCAATTAACTTTCTACAGTTTCATTTCTTATCTTAGGAAAAAAAAAACGAGAGCCAAAAGAGGAGTTTCAACTAGCGTTGCAAAGCGGCTTTCTACGCGAGATGCTAAGTTTTAAAGTGCTTCGATAAATTATGTTTTACCGCGCGGCACACCGCGTATCACTCGATCGATCGTGTATAAACGGGAATCGTTTTGTGAAAGTGGTAGCGCGGCGCGCGGCTGAGACACGCTCGCGCGCGCGCTAGTTCCAACGGAGCGAATTGCTCCGTCGCGCGGCGCCCAAGGGCGTCTTTGTGGCATAGCGCGCCGGGGCGTTTAAACAAGTCCAAGACGACGAATTGTGGGCGGTCGCGAGTGAGTTAGGAGCGACGGTTTTTGGAGAATAGAAGTCGAGTAAGCGTATCGCGTATCAGCCGGCAGTTACGCGGATGAGCGATGCCGAGAAAACATCGCACATTTTGCTCACGCCTCTATTTTCTCGCACGCGCTAAATCATACTTAAAATCCAGCTTCGCGTGAGGAGAAGCTCCTTTTATTTTCTTTTATCTCTTTCTGCTATATATTTTATAGAATCCAATGCTTTACGGATTTACGTGGAAGTGAATGGCTGTTATCGTTGGTGCGTGTGCGTGCGCGTGTTTTATATAAGATCATTTATTTATTTATTTTTTTTTTTCACACAAATGCATGTATATATATATTACACATTATTATTTATATGTTCAACTTCAATTACAAAGTGAAATAACGAATGCGTGTGAGTAGTACAATTCTCTCTGCTCTATATATTTAAATTTATTTTTCTCTTCGGTCTTGTGCGCTCTGTAATAAAAATAATAGAATATATTCTCTATATAAAATTTATCCTCTTACTCTCGTTTTTTTTCCGCTTCTAAAATTCACTCGCTCGCTTACCTACTCGGTATATATGTATGTGTACACGTGCGTCTGTCTCTCAGCGTCGCGAAGATCCTCTCGGGGGGCTTACACTCTATTTCCACGACACTTCTCCCTTCTCCCCTTCTTGTCTTGTGACTGTGCGCGTCCCGGTAACGAGCACGCCGTACTGTCGAGGAGGAAAAAGATTGGATTCCCGGGAATTTCGAGAGAAGAATTTTTTAATACGCGTACATAAACGTTTCGCATCGAGCTACGCGACGTTCCGACGACGACGTAAAAATGTTCTTTATGCGAGAAGCTTTTCGGTCGAAAACGTCGAACGAAATGCGAACGCGCGCCTTGAAACCAGAAACAACGTTAATCCTAATGTTTTATTCACATACTTTCTTCTTGTCTCTCTCTCTTTTTTTTTTTGTGAAACACGAGATTTCCGCGTTGAGAAAAAAACAATTAAAGCAACATTTAAAATTGCCCGAGAGTCGAGATATTTATTTATGTACGGGGCGGTTGGGAAAGAGATCGATAACGGCGTCGTTATCGAATGCATCTCTGCGAGACAAAGAGGCATCGTGGGCACCTTGGATCAAACCGTGAAAGACAGAAATGGCAGAATGCAGGAATGCAAGCGGATCGTAAAAGGGTCGCGATCCCTTCCCGACTGTCGAGTGCGCGCTTCTGAATCGTCGACGAGAGGAGACCAAGGGAAACGGAGAGAAAGAATTTTTCCAGATACTTTCGCGGGAAGAAGACACCTCCTATTCTGGTCGACTGTGAGGAGGAGACCTGGCGACGCTTGCCGCCCACGGAGGACGAGAAAAAAGCGATCGTTAAAAGCTGTCATCTCCGCGCTTGTCAGTGTCTTAACGTGCACGCACGAGAATTTTTCAACGCTAGAAAATTTGTGAGATAACGCACATCGGAATTAAACTGAGAAGGTGATTAGAAGTTATTACACAATTAAAAATATAAAAAAGTTTTTGATCTGAGTTTTGAGAAACCAACAATCAGACGAATTATTTGCAATTGATAATGAAAAAAATTAAGAATCTCAAAAAAAGTTTAAACATTTTTTTTAAGTACACAAGTGAAACAACTTTTTTCTTATTGCATACGTTCTATTATAGCGCCAGCATTGACGAACTAATTTCACTTAATGACTCAACTAATCCATCAGACTAAATTAACAAGTCAGACACGATTTGAATTATTTAATAAGAGCGTGAGTGTATACTTAGATAATTAGTAAAACCTTTTGCTAATCTAATTTTATATTAATTTTGTAACGTAACCTTATTTGGTCGGACGATATTTGGAATCGAAGAACGAGATCGAAGAGATCGAGTGAACGTCTTAGTCACAGGCTTACGCAGAGACGATTAATTGCCAAAATAACTGCAGACACGAGGAATCGTTTAGGCCCACGTCCCGGGGTACATTGTTTGGCGTGGATACACTCGGTTGGAACGTGTGTCTCCGGACGGGGAACATAATATACGGGGACAGTTACGGTCCTGGCCCGACGTATATTATGTCCTGTGTGTAAGTGCATCACCCTTGGTGCCCAAAGCGCAAAGCCGTGCGCGAGAAATGCACTTTGTGAAAAATAAAGTCGGTGTGTTGTTTCCACATAAAGCGAAGACAAAACGCACAGACCACAGACATTTAAAATTGTTAAGCACATTCAATAATTTTGGAAATTCTGCAAGTAAAAATTTAACGTTTCACACTTTTTTCGACTAACTACACAGTTAATATATTAAAAGTATATATCTATTTGCACGTAATTACTTTTAAGTTTGATATTACACGGTGATGCAGAACGAGTTTTTTTTTTTTATTTTAGATATAAAGTGTAAGCTTTTTTCTATTTGACTATTTCCATTCCAAGTTTGCCGTCGAGCGAGAGTTTTTTATTTTTCTTTCTTCTTTTTTTTTGCGCGCGAGACACGGCCGATTTATTCCTTCATCGTCGGAATCGGTCGTACGATAAATAAAATCCGCAGAGAAACGGGTAAACGAGAAACGACGAGCGCGTCACGGCTCGTCGCGATCTACGCGACGGTACACAACGCGCGAATGCGTGCGGTGGTTTCGCGCTTGTCACGTAGACGACGTTTAAATTGAGCGCAGAAAAATCCGGCCCGTTCACAGCTTGCCGCGTGACGGAATTTTTCTCTCGCGCGACGTTTTATTTTTTCGTCGACTCTCGGCGAAATGACTCATTATCGCTGTCTGCTCAAAATAAGCTTCTGCAAAAAAAAAAAAAAAAAACAGAAAGAAAAGTCTCAGTTCTTCACGACGCTGCGCGTTATTTATTTTTTTTTCACGAAACACTTCTACAGAGTTTATATTACACAATTTGTTTGTGTTTAATTATTGGTTTTTTTAATAATTGAATATAGTTACTTAAAAAAACCATCGTCGCGACGACGATGCGCGCGCGAGGCGAAAAAATAAATTGCGCCGGCGGCTTCCTCGGGCGCTTTTATACTTCACTTTTCTGTCACTTAGACAACGGGAAGCGCTGTTAATCTTTTTTTCACACGGCAAAGCATTGTTGGAGGAGATAGAAAAAGTGGGGATATCTGGCAGTCCGCGTAGTTATATCACATAGTCAAAGTTTACGACCGTTCTTCCCTCGGAGAGAATCTCTCCGGGCTTTTCGCGCGTTGCGCCGCGGGTGTTAACGTGTTGCGCGAAAGAGACTCATTTTTTCCATATTAAAAGAAAATTAAACGAAACCCGGAGTTGACGAGAAAAGAATGACCCCGAATGAAAAATCACCGTTCGCCTATTCGCGAGGAAAAGGATATTACGGATGTGTTACGCTCTTCTTGCTGGAATCGTAAATCTTTTCGCGCGCCGCGCGCCGTCGAGTTTCGCGAGGTTTTACGAGACACCAACCGGCTCTGCTTGTTCAGGCCGACAATTCCTTCCTTCTTGACGTGATGAGCACCTGGTTCTTTGTACAGAAGTAGACGCGTTTTTTTTGTTTTTTTTTTTATTATCGTTAAAATGCATAAATCGAATAAACGTACGCTATTAATTCGCTGGCGTGTCGCTTGAAGAAACCGTGTTTTTTTAAGACAGGAATAACATTTTTATTTCTGATTTTTTTTGTAGTTTTAACATTGTGTGTACAATTTGCACGTAAATATATATATACGTATATATTATTAGAATATTTTATTACATAATATTTTTCTTTTCCCACAGCTAAAGTAATATATCGATTTTAGCTTATATAAAAAATTTCCCCGTCACAGAAAATCCTCTCCCCGAGCGCGATACCCCGATTAACTCTTTCGACATCATCGATATCCGATAGTTTCGCGATAAAACGATACTCGAGCGCGCGTCGCACGGACACGTCTGTGTCAATTAGCAGAGCTAATTGATTTCGAGTGTAAATCTAATGCGCGATACGGTTTTTCAACGGTGTCGTATCGCTTTTCGAACTGGGGTTTGCGGTTGCGACAGCAGCGGGGCCGCGAGAGCGGAGCTTGCAAGAGGACGAAAGCAGTTGTTCCCACTAAATTTACGACGGGGAGGCGCGCGCAAAGCGGGGAGAAATAACCCTCCTTTCTTCTTACGTGTTCCTCTCTCACTCGTAGTATCCCTCTCCGTTTCTCCGCGCCCGTTAATGAGTTCCGATCGTTTCGGCGCCATATGTTTCTCCAACGATGCTGTTTGTTTTTTTGAGGGCGGGCTTTTATATGCCGGTCTCGTATCCCGCTCGCTGACGTACGCGTGTAAAATGTAACTTACCGCTTTGCGCTGCACGCGCGGCCGTTTCCCCCCGTGGCCGCGCGACCCGCGTCGAGTCGCTCGCTAAATGCTCGATATTTTCGGGATTTATGTTATATTCATCGTGCCGACAATGGTGCGGACGTGCGGCGAGAAAATTTCATCGGGGGGGAGTGCACGAAATACAGATAAGCAAACAGATATTCGCGATGGATATGGGCGATGATGGGAAATCAATCATTCGATTTGATGCGAACGCGTTTTATTGTTCGACGAAAGGGGTTTCGGTGGCGGAGGTTATTCTACACAAAAATTTTATCGGCACACTGTTGTCACAGAAGGGAGGGGGGAAATGCTGCGACGTGGTTATACAGTCGATAATCTCTCTTATTACGTCCGTGTTTCAATTGGCGTTGATTCCTGTGATTTCACAGTCCGCAATCTTCCTTTCACTACGCAAAAGAAATATCCGATTTGTACAATGGTTTTGTTTCGCACAAATTTGTGATCAGATTGTTTGATTGAGAAGACTATACGTACGGCAAGCCAGATGCGCGAAACAAATTCTACCTGGACCGCAATCGTCATCATCGCGACAAGAATCCTTGCTTCGTTTTATCGCTTGATTGTCGATTTCTCTTTTCTTCCTGTCCGGGAGATGCAGTTCCACAATCTCCGTTTCGCTCTTTCGAAGAGAAGACAATATTGTAGAATCATGCAATAAAAAAAAAACAGAAAAGAAACTTGAAAAAATTCCGTAATTTTTACTGAGTTTCATGGCGCGTGTGAAGTTGTTGTCGATCGTGCGTCATCGATTACTTACGGAATCTATGCTGCTGCCGAGAGAATCGTCCAGTTCGATCACTCGAATGTCTAGATCATCCTAACGACCAAGTAAGATTAGCACATGATCACGGCGCAACACTACAGTGCGCGTTACGCGTCTAATCGGCAAGATAAAGTTGATTCTCCGTACCTTCTTGTCCTGAATGATACATGACTTGGTAGACACACAACTCGATACGACGTATAGCAACAACACGAAGAGAAGAAGTCGGCTCATGTTGAACGACGCGCTTAATAGAATTGCGGCACCTGACAACGTCGAAGCGGATTTTATACCTCCCAGAGTGCTCGTTGCGAAATTGTTCCATCAGCGCTTTCTTATCGAAGCGTCGTCTCGTTAAAGATATTCATCTTCGGAAAAATTGATCTTTTTTTGTTTTAACTTCGCAACACCGGAAATTACGCGAGCATAACCGATTTCAGCGTAACGCTGTGCGCTAAGCGAGCAGAAAATTTGCTGCTTGTTTATCTAAATTAGAAAACCGAAGAATTAAGCGAGTAGTCGTAAAACACAGTTAACACCTCGCAATTTCCTCAAGTATGAAGAAAATTAAGTTTCTCCGTTATCTTGGTTTTATGACTTTTAGGCTTTTAAGATGTTCCAATCAGTTTTATCTTACGAAGAGTTTCTTCTCGAGTGTATATAACGAACATTTTTACTCAGTTTCTCGCGAAATCTCTTCTTCTTCTTTGCCGAGATTAGTGTTGATTTATTTTAATTAACAAAAACATTTTATTTTTTTTTTTTACTGACGTTTTACTTGATTTATTTTGAACGGAAAATAAGGAGCGATATAATTTTAACATAGTTACAGTTTTAAATTAAAAAAAAATATCTCACCCGTCTCCTCTCTTCGAGATTATATACTTTATTGATCGTTTCGATGGGTTACGATCACGTAGCGCCTGCGATGTCTACGTATCCTTATTCGATTTCATAGTGCTCCCTTAAGCGATATACATTTTCAACCTCTCCCCGAGAGTCCTCGGGAGACAGCGAGGATACTTACTGCGTATTTTCCGCGGAATACCTTCACGCTATACCTTCCAGTAAAACACAAGATACTCGTTTTTCGATGCTCGAGGAAACTCGAGTCCCGCGAGTGCAATATGCATTTTTTCTTCGTGATCTCTCGCACAGTCGGTTCGCGCACGACAAACACACACACACACACACACACGGAGCGCCGACTCTTTACCAGAAATCGACCTCAATGAGCTCGACGATGAGACGACGACGAGCTCTCGTCGGTGTTGCAACGAGAGACTCGCCTAACAAAGAGTATCGTCCCTTGTGTTTGCGTCCTTTATTTCTGCGAACGAAGAAGAACGATCGGAGTTAGGATTAGAACCTTTAATCAACCGCGCGACCATTAACGCACTTTGTTATCCCGAGAGCGCGCGGCGGGCCGTACATTGCGGCGCTGTGTGCCGCGCTTACAAAAAAACAAAAAAAAAAAGCAAACGGCGCGTAAAACCCCGCGCGAAAAAGTAAAACTACTGCATCTCTCGCATGCTGAAGTGCACGGGCCTGTCTGCCCCGGGTTCTTAGTCTCGTTCGGGATGATTATCGCGCGCGTCCATTGAGTTCCGCACGCGCGTTCGCTTATTACGCGAATTATCAAAGATGTTTTAGCCGCCGGCGAAATAGCCACATTAGGAAATTGCACGCTCCGCCGCGCCGCGCCGCGCCGCGCATCGCCGTGCATATCGTTATTTTCGCTACCTCGTTATCTATCTTTTGAGCGAGCTCTTTCATTCGCGTCGATACGCGGCGCGCGGCATCCATACGCGGCATTCGCCGCGGAGAAATCCGCGTTAGACGCGCGGTTGCTTCTCGAGTGTAAGATCATTAATATCACGCTTTTTGTTGAAGCACCATTACGTCTTTATACAGATTATCACGGAAAGTGCATCTACGGTTTTTTTTTTTTTTTTTAATATAGCTTCGCGAATGATCTTTTGATCGCGCTTGATTATTTATAAACAATGATAAAAACTACATGATGATAAATTGCGAAAAACCAGTGGATTAAAAAAAGCGAGAGAGAGAAAAATATATTTTACCGCATAAATTTCAGTTCTTTTTTTTTTTTTTAACAAATACTTACTACGAGTCGCGTCTCTCTCTCTCGAGGATATTTATTACCGCGTTTTGCTCCGTTAATTCCTGACGCGGCATACTTAAAAGCGACGGGAAGTGCAACTGTTTGCATAGCGCGCGCCGTAGCTACGGTTGGCAAAGTTGTCGCGTGAAGGAGTCCAAACTAGACGGTGGCAGAGTCCTCGTAGGTCCTCGACGTGACCGGAAGTTCTTTGTTCGCTTGATTGCCGAACAACGTAGGAACTATTCATTAGCTTAGCAAATAATGCTCTCTTCTCCCCGCCCTCAGAGAGAGAGAGAACAGTTCTAACCTTTGGCTAAACATTCGCTCGTCACCACTGTGTGTGTGGTGCCTCTCTCATACCTCTACTATGTCAATACACCCTTCTGGTATGACTGTCGTACTTACAGCATCTGTTACTGCTGGAGTAAATTATCGCGAATGTATAGAAAACTCAAACAGCGCTTCCATCAAAATCTCAAGTTTAATTGGCAAAGCTTTTGCAATTTTTGTTGTTTTCCAATGTTATCGGAATTACAATAGCGCCTCTGTATAACTTGTAGCACGCGTGGTTACATAAGGATACATGTGTGCGCGTATGTATAGTAAACGAAAAGAGGCTCGCGCGTGTGCGCGTGAATGTTTTAAATTTATACTTTATTTGTGTACGAAGTGTACGGGAAGTGAGACGTGCGACAAGAGGGAGGGAAGAGGGACTGGTTTGTTCCGAATTGCCGACCGCTTCGGGAAAACAAATTGGAAATACTTCAGAAGAACAGAAACAAACACAGAGCTGCTGCGGAGCTTTTCTCGGCGCTCTCCGGCTGACTCCGTGGAAAGAAACGCGCGCGGACCAAATTAGTTGGAACAGTCACGACGACAGGTTGTGAATGATGAATGAACGCGCTCTGTACATGGTGCCTCGAGAAAGGTAATTTTGAACTTTTACGCGGTAAACGGAGAGTGTCTAGACACCCGGTTGTGAGAATAGCTCGCGAGAGCACACAGATCTCATAAACTTCAAGACACGGGAGCCAAGTATCCGAAGTAGAGGAGATTACGAACTTTCTCGCGCGCGTTCTGTCGCAAATTCATTTAATATAATGCCAACTTACCCAATTACACTACAATAATGTAAGAGAATGCTCTAACGTGCTATAATCAACTTGAAGATGTTAATAGATTTGTGCGTGCGTGTGTGTGTACGTGATTGTGAGGTGAAAAAAATACACTTATCTTGTACAGGTACATCTCTCCACTTTTTGTCAACTTATGATACAATATTAAATTGCAAACAGAGCCTTTGCGCGTTAAAAAACAAATTGATTTGATTTTTAGACAAGTGAAATGAACATAAAAGGTAACTCAAAATTTTCCGGTAGTAGTTGGGCAAGTGTGAACCATTTGCAGGGTGTTTTGCAATAAATAAATCTGCTAATTTTGTTTTCCAAACGTTTCGGCTTTATTTTTAACCTTCTTCAGTGGATTTCTTTGATAGAACACTTCCTCCTGATATATCGAATGACGAACATTTTAATTAAAATTGTGTGTGTCAATTGTAAAATTTAATCTGTTTACTATGTGTGAGTCAAGAGTTTCGTCACTACTGTCAAACTAACACACCGAAAAAATTGTATTCTTGTTTTGAGGATATCCCACTTACTTTAAGTATATTATATACTAAAATAGGCGCCAAGAAGAGTTTCTTATTTTTAAGAGGAAAATCCTCTAAATAGTAATATTGATAAGAATATATACTGATTAGAATATAAAAAGCCTCTATAGAAAAACATATATATATCTCACTATCGAAAAAGACTATATTCTTAAATTAAGAATATATTCTTAAAAATAAAGAATATATTCTTAATTTCAGAAGAATATCATCTAAAATCTTTAAGAAGATTTTTTAAGTATAAAATCTTCTACTTACAAGAATATAATTTTTTCGGTGAACAGTATTATTATAAAAGGTAACCTTATAAGGATATATATTCACGTTCTATAATTCATTAATGCAGTAAAAGTATCTTTATCCTTTAAAAAAAGAGAAATGTGTAGCACACGCGACTAAGTACTTTGTAATTTTCGCGTAAATTTTCACAGAAGCTCTTGTTAATTGCGCGGGAACGTCTTCGTGGAAAGACGAGTGAAAAAGGTGAGGCAACGATCCCCGGGTTTGTTGTTGTCGCGCTAAACGGTCCGCAGGCGAGAATAAATGCGAGAAAAACGAATCGCAGATTCGCCGGGGGATCGTTCGTCAGCTTCGTATATTTAGATACCGTGGCCATGTTCTTAACACGTCGCCTTTATCCTGCTCTCTTTTCTCTCGTTTCTCGGTTTTACCTCTCGTCGAGTCGCGCGTGTCTCTCACGAAAATCCGACCGACGGGATCGATGGTTGTATCGGTTCCAACAACAATTTTTATTTTTTTATTCTTTTATTTTTTTTTCAGTATCTTTCTTAAGTTCCACACGGACTTTCGTGAGATCAAGTGCATATCCGATCTATAAACGGTTCATCCGATTATCGCTCGTGTGCAAGCGGATTACTTTTTGCGGATATCACATTTTTCACTTTGCGAAGAGTAAAAAATTATTTAACGCTACTCTTATAAATCGCGTGCGTATGTGCGTGCGTGCGCGTGTGTGTGTGTCACACACGCGCGCGTGAATATAACGCATCGCGGCAGATATATTCTCGAGCGCGGCGCGCTCATGCAGTATTCATTCGAGAGCGTTTAATAACCCATACCGTCGGCGAACGGAATGTAATATTTTTTTTATACCTGGTATATAAAAAAA